GAAGCTGCATTGCAAAGCAGTCAGCTTACACGACTACTATTGGCAAACTCGGCGAACGAAGTCAGAACTCCCTTGAACGGCAATAATAAATTACCTCGAGATTGCCCTCGAGGGTGCATTAGACCAAGAGACGAGAGAAAACCTAGCCAAATCGCACTCTGCTTCTAAGTCATTAATTTATGTCATCAACGATTTGCTAGATTTGACGAAAACCGAGGAGGGCAAGGATTTGATCAAAGACGAAATTTTCGATCTCCCTGCCGCAATACGAGAGGCTACCGACTTGTTCAATGGCGATGTTAAGCGAAAGGGTATTGAATATACCGTTGTTGAGCATCCCGGTGTTCCACAATTCGTGCATGGCGACCAAAGACGTGTCAGACAAGCAGTTGCTAATATCACAGCAAATGCTGTTCAGCATACGTCAAATGGTTTTGTTCACGTTGATATCTGGTTACAAGAAATAACCAATAACAAAGTGAACATCGAGATTGTAGTTGAAGACTCTGGTGCTGGCATGTCAAACCAAAAACTTGACACGCTCTTTCGAGATCTCGAGCAAGTTGATGGCGATCCTTTGTTTGACGATGTAGAGAGTAATGAGAAAGCTCTCGTTGATGGTAAGCGTACCATTGGTCTAGGTCTGGCAATGGTAGCGAGAATTGTCAGAAACATGGACGGTCAACTGCGATTGAAGTCAGAGGTGGGCAAAGGATCGCGATTTGTCATTCAATTACCTTTCTTGCTTCCTGATGATGATCTACAAAATTCTGGAAATGAGGAAAAGGCCGAATTCTTGAATACGGCATCTTTATCGCCCCCGATTGCGACACCACCTCCTGTAGGTACTGGTGAGGTGACCCTTGTCGAAAAAGCAAGCTCCGTCCGACCAAATACCGATTCTTCAATCGTCCACAAGCGAAGTGTAGAAGAGGTTGCTAGTTTGCATAGCTTCAAGAGTAATAATAGCAGCAAAGCTAGCGCGAAAAGTGACGTGGATCGATTAATTGATGCTATTTCTGGCCCAATTGGCAATGGACCGGGGGAACCTTTGCAACGTGTTAGTAGCAGAGATCGACAGAGTGTTAACAGTGCACCTATGCCTTCTAATTCGGGTCGACCTGAAGCTCTGAAGCGCTCGACGTCTTACCAAGCCCCTGATGATTTGAGATTGCAGGAGGTCCGAACCCCAGGAGCCGAAAGTATATGCGATAGCAGAACACCTATAAGAGCTGTTAGAATGCCGGATGAATTCTCGGAAAATACAAATGACACAAGTGCTTCTCTAGTTGCAGCAAGGGTGAAATTCAACCTCCAAACACCATCTTCACAGAACAAATCACACAAAGTTGCACTTGCACCTGATGAAACTGAACCTACACTAGAGTCAAAACCTCTCAATACAGAGCACTTGAAGGTTTTAATCGCTGAGGATGATCCTGTCAACAGCCGCATTATCAATAAGAGGTTAACAAAAGGTGGTCACGAAGTCTACCACACCATAAATGGGGAAGAATGTGCAAGTGCTTACGGAGATAACGTCACTAACTCTTCCAAGTCGACTGCAACATCTTCGTCGGCGGACACTCGTTTTGATGTAGTACTTATGGACATGCAAATGCCCATAGTTGATGGACTTACTTCAACAAAGATGATTCGATCCTTTGAAAAAATTCACCTTGATCTTTCCCCTCGAGCGAAGCTCAATGGTAGAGTACCTATATTTGCCGTTTCAGCTTCTCTGGTTGAACGTGAACGTCAGACATATATTGATGCTGGTTTCGATGGCTGGGTATTGAAACCCATCGATTTTAAACGTCTCAACGTATTACTCGAAGGGATCGTTAATAGCAAGGTTCGAGAATCATGCTTGTATCAACCAGGAGAATGGGAATGTGGGGGTTGGTTTCATAAAATGCAACCCTCAGCATTACAATCTTTAACTGTACCATCCAACGAAACGCCAGTCCAAAATCCTCCTCAAATAGGACCAGAGGCTCTTCAGCCTGATAAGGATACACTAGACGACGACACTGGTACTTCACCATCCAGGGACGATAAGAAGCGGCCATTGATATATGACGAGAGACTTAATTCCACGAACGAGGCGCTCAATGCTACTACCGAAGTCGATGTGGGCCCTCATAGTGATCTTTCAACCGCAGCTGAAAGACCTGTGACAGATGTCAGCAATGAAGAAGGTGCACCAACTGTCGAGGAGCCTCTTGTTGATGGTGTTGGTGAAAGCGCTGAACATGAAATTGTGGATACTGCCGATGCTGGTACGGATGTTCAACTCAGTACAGAGAGCAATCCTAAAGAAGTTGAACAGGCTAGTCAGCCAGCGGATGCTATTGAGATTGATGAACCAACAGCAGAAAGTTCCACAGATTCTGAGATCCCCAAGTCGATAGATGAGCCGGCTTGCTGAGGGACCTTTGTCATTAATGGAATGATATTTTACTATTTTCTTTTTCAAGTTATGTTTTAAAAATTATTTTCTCTAACGTCATGACTGATTGAACCATGAGTTTGGGCGGCTAGAAGCTTTACGCACATATACAGGGGTGGCATACCCTTTGATTTCACAGATTGGAGCGGGAGTTTTTTTTTGAAGTACGACCGTACTGTGTACGAGATTTTTCGGAGACTTTATGATAATTTTTTCTTTTGTTATCATGCTTACAGGGAAGAATAACGGGAATGTAAGCTTTCAAGGCTTCAAAAGGAAGCAAGGACACCACTCCGTACTTTTTTTATGAAAGATTGCGAATTTGGTAAGCTACAAAAAGGAGGTTTGATTTATGGCATATCTGTCTGCATGGCTTGCGTGTTAATTGGGCCGAGCGATAAAATAACGCACGCGCTTTGATTTTATGTATATTACCTCCTTTCTTGGAATTTTGATGGAATGGGA